CACAGAAGTAGGTGTTGGATCCTTCAGGTAGGTATTATGGGTTTAGGATTTAGGGTTTAGGGTATGGTGGAGCTGAGCATACACCATACAAGCCATAGAGTCACAGAGCGCAGAGTGTAGACATGGCTACAGCGCAACTCTGAAAGCTCGTAGCCCTCCTCCCTAAACCCTCAACCCTGAGAGTTTGAACGAGCAGCCTACCGTGACTGCCCCAAGTAACCCTTAAGGGGGCAGGTGCACCTTGGGGGTGGCTGGGGGGGGGGGGGGGCTGTATTCGCTAAACCCTCAACCCTAAACTCTGGACCCTAGACCCTAGACCCCCTAGACCCTAAAACCGAGCGCGGGGTGCCGAAGAAAACCCCCTTTACAGCCCTCGAAGCCCTGCAGTTTCTTTATCACGCCGGCTGCGGTTACCTCTGCGACGCGGGGCACGCCCTGGAGCCCCACTTCGTGGGCACAACGAGTTGCTTGGTCGAAGGAAATGGCTGTAGGGTTTTCGGGGTTTGGGGTTTAGGGTTTAGGGTTCTAGGCGTTGTTTGATGTTTCGAATGCCAGAGAGAGAGAGAGAAAAAAAAGAGAAGCAAAAAAGAGTGAGATGGGGTAGTTTTAGGGTTTTAGGGTTTAGGGTTCTGACATGTAAAGGTTGCATCTTTGTTTGTGGGGGGCGCAGAGGTCTCTGCCTTATCTTTTCGTCTCTCGGCCTCCCTCCCTTTCCATCTAGGTTTAGGGTTTGGGGTTTGGGGTTTAGGGTTTAGGGTTTGGGGTCCTAGAGTGGGCGCTTTCAACCATGTCTATGAGGCCTCTAAACCCTAGAGACCCTATAAACCCTAAAGCCCTGAACCGGGGGATGTTCCCCCTTGTACGAACAGTCCTTAAAAGGGATCATAGCACCCCCCCCCCCCCTCCCAATTATAATCCCTATGAAGGACTGTTATTATCAGGGGGAACATCCCAACCCTCAACCCTAAACCCTAAACCCTAAACCCTAAACCCTAAACCCTAAATCCTGAACCCTGTAAATCCTGAACCCTTGGCGCCACAGGCTGCCCCAAAGGTCACGTGCTGCAAGCTGTATCCCTGGATGAGCTCTCGGAGACGTGTGGGACAGAGTTGAGCCTTTGGCCGCCTATTCCTCGAAAAGGGAGCTCCTAAAACCCAAACCCTAAACCCCTAAACCCTAACCCTAACCCTAAACCCTAAACCTAAACCCTAAAACCCTAAACCCTAAACCCTAACCTAAACCCTAACGAGTTGAGCCTTTGGCCACCTTAAGAGATTGTGGGAGTCCTCTTCAAAAGGGTTTTGAATGGCAGAGGAATTCGTTTCCTCGGACCCAGAGTAGGGCCAAATTCCCTTCTTCTAGGGTTTTAGGTTTAGGGTTTAGGGTTTAGGGTTTAGGGTTTAGGGTTTGGGTTGGGTTTAGGGTTTAGGGTTTAGGGTTTAGGGCCTCCAAGCCCCTTGAAACCGAAAAGGCACCCGTTTTCTTCACAGGTTGCTCTTGGGTTTAGTTTTAGGGTTCAGGGTTTAGGGTCTAGGGTTTAGACACGCCAAAGGAAGGAACTGCAGGAAGGAGTCACTAAGCACGAAGCCCAACTCCGTAGGGTGCAGGACGAAGTCGGATCCTTGAAGTCACAAACCTTCACAGAAATCCGGAGAATTCAGGAGAAAGGTTTAGGGCATTACCTAAAGAAGCCCAAACCCACCGGTCCTTGTAGGTTCTTATCACAGAGCCTCTTATAGGATCTCGGGTACCTACGAAGAAGTAGGTTTTGGGTTCTAGAGGTAGGGTGAATCTAGAGTCCAGTAAAGACGTGTGGAAGCTCGAAACCTCAAGCTGTGCTGCACGGAGCCTCTTCCTTGACCTTCGTGCCCTTATGTAACGGCATAGGCATCAAAAAAAATAATAAGCATCAAAAAGAAAAAAATAGGGATCAAAAAAAAAAATAGGCATCAAAAAAAATAATAAGCCATCCGGCCCACCTGCGTGGTCCTCGGTCCGTCCTCTGGTCCCGTGGTCCTCTGGTCCCGTGATCCTCTGGTCCCGTGGTCCTCTGGTCCCTGTCCTCGGTCCCGTGGTCCTCTGTCCCGTGGTCCTCTGGTCCCGTGGTCCCTCCCCCTGGTGGTCCCTGTGGTCTTGTCTGTCCGCCTGGTCCTGCGGGTCCTATGCGTATAAATAAATAATTAAATTAGACAATAGTAAAATCAATAAATAAATATATATTATATACACACGATAGTGAAGGTCAACGTGTGTGTATATATATGTATGTATGTATGTGCATATATTTATATATACATATTACATAATACACATTACATTACACATTACCTATTATATACTATACATTATACATTATACATTATACTTATATATTATATCTTTATATATTTATATTATGTATTACGTATTCTGTATTCTGTATTATGTTATTATGTTTATGTATTAATTATGTACTATGAAATTCTATATTATGTTTTATGTTTTATGTACTATGTATTATGAATTATATATTATGTTTTTATATTATGTATTCTGTATTATGGTTATGTGTTATGTGTTATGTATTATGTATCATATATTTGTTATGTCGTATGTACTATGTGTTTTTTTTATTATGTATTCTATATATATTCTATATTCTATATTATATATTATATATTATATATTATATATTATATATTATATTTTATTGTATATTATATATATGTAGATATATAATTTATATTAACATTATATCATGTATATATATATGTATACACTTCTACTTATATATATATACATATTTTATATATATCCATTTATATTTATATTTATATTTTCATTATTGTCGTACATTATATGATATGTGTATGTATATAAATAAGTAAATATAAATATGAATAAATAAATAATTATAAATAAATAAATAAATATACACATATATATATATATATATCGCATATTGTATATTATATGTCATATATTGCATATCATATATTGTATATTGCATATCATATACTGCATATAATGCATCATAAAAGTATATAATATATAATATATACTGTATACATAATATACAATATATAAAGTGTATAATATTATTTATTATTAATTAATTTATTATTTATTATTCATTATATAGTATATGCTATATATTATGTAGTATGCATTATATATTGTTCTTTGAAGCCAGTGGAATGCAAAGAAAATGGAAGTTATTTGCTTAAAACATGTAGAAGTAGAGTTTTTCCGATGGAAACATAGAGATAATAGAGGGTTTCTCATGAAAACGTGAAGACAGTAGACGTTTTCTTGTGGGAGTATGAAGAAATAGAGGTTTTTCCCATTGAAAGATCGAGAAACTAGAAGGTTTTCCAACCACTACCACCACTTCTACGCATCGTGCGAACATTGTTTGCAAATGGGGGGGGGCTGCGCCCCCCCCAACCCCCCCGCTGTTTTTTTTAAGCTATGCAAAGCGTGCTGCAAAGCCAAGTGGGGGGGTGTGGGGGGGGGGGGGCTGCGCCAACCCCAACCCCGCCGCGTTTTTATCAAGCTGTGCCACTGCAAAGCGTGCTTTATGAATCTTGTTGAAGCCATTGGGATACTAAAAAGTTTAAGTTTTTCTTAAAATACATGCAAATAGAGGTTTTCCGATGGAAACATAGAGATGACAGAGGTTTCCAATGAAAACGTGAAGAAAATAGAGGTTTTCTTGTGGGAATATGAAGAAATGATTAAAAGATCGAGAAAATAGAAGGTTTTCCAACCACTACCACCACCCACTACTACCCCTCGTGCGAGCATTGTGTTTGCAAATGGGGGGGGGGGCTGCGCCCCCCCCCCCCCCCACCAACCCCCAAACCCCCCACCCCCCCACCCCCCCCCCCCCCCCCCCCCCCCCCCAACCCCCCAACCCCCCCCCCAACCCCCCAACCCCCCCAACCACCCCCCCCCAACCCCCCCCAACCCCCCCCAAAACCCCCCCAACCCCCCCCAACCCCCCCCCCCCCAACCCCCCCCCCCCCGCTCCAAGTTATTTTTTTTTGATGCTTATTTATTTTTTTTTGATCCCTTGGGGTTATTTTTTTTTGATGCTTATTTATTTTTTTTTGATCCTTCACCCTTGAAATAAGATGCGTCAGGTGTACACAATCGCCTTCTCGCTGATTGTTTGTGTGGGCAACCTCATGATGGCTGAGATGTGCAGCCGTGTGGCAGACACTATTGGCTTTGATTCTTGGACATACTTGCAAGCTTTGGCTCAATGTACACTGGTTCGACGAAAGTGGTTCCTTACAGTATCCTGAATGTTCTTCGTAGGTCCTGGGAGACACCAAGCTGATTCAACTAGCGAAGTGGTCGCGATCCAGTAAGATCATTTTTGTTCGCTCCAGTGCGGTGGTTGAGCGGGCGGGTGCTGCCAGGAATACAAGGAGACAAGAGAGAATTGCTACATGGTCCTCTACTTGCTGGCAATTGCCACCTGGGCTGATTATAATAGTAATCGCGCCGTTGGCTGCGTAACTTCGTGTTGCAAAGAAGCATACATCTCAGGTCGTAAATGTTGGCCTCGACTTATGGACGACGTATTATATGGCATCTCAGAGCTTCGGCCGCAAATGTTGGTTCTCCTTGTCTGTGCTGGCGGTGTCTTGGCAGTGCTATGCACACCTGCGCGGTGCGGCTGAACCTCCTGGGTTGCAGGAGTGCCGCTTTCATTCATTGCAGACTTGTTTGGCGTCCTGCCACCAAGTGGAGCAATCTGGCTCAAACATGCCAAAACTGCCAGTTCGCACATCCAAGCCAAAGCTGATCTTGCAAGCTTGCCGACCTTGCCGCCGCTATGCCACCCAATCTACCAGCATAAGTGGATGGCTTCATGCGATCTCGTCGGCAGATTAAAAACCGGCCCAGCTGGCGCATAAGGCAGCTCGCCGTTAGATGTCAGCATGTCTTGTGCACCCCAGCCCAAAGTCACACCTCACACTTTACCTTAGCATCACTGTCAGCACGCGCCATGGACTCCGTTGCCAGTGCGGCGAGCGCGGTGGTGCGGCAGTCGACGCTGGCAATTGGTGCAGCAGCCGACGAGCTGGCGCGCCAGGCCAGAGACAGCAGTGTACTGTAGCGATCGGCTCTCGTCGGGTACGGCCTGCGACCAACAGAACTTGCTGTCGCCAGGCCAATGCTGTAGTCCAAGCGACCGCCGAGTCTGATCCCATATCTTGGATGGCAGGCCTCGGCATGGGGCCTCAGGATCCTGCATGCATGTGGCCCCGGCACATACATGGATGTAGAGAGGCCCAGCATCTGTAGATCACTCTGCATCTGCCAGTCTACCATACTTTAAACTGTTTCCTTGGCTGCAGGGGAAGAGGATGAGCTGCCGGGCCCCTCTGACCTGGTGCCACCGGCCCCCATAGCCACACCCCTTGCTGCGCTGACATCCTGGGGTGCCTGGGGTCTCGATGACACGCCGACCTGGCACCGATGCTCGGTCAAGTCTTTTATGTCATAGCGGGGATATCGGGGTTTCCGACCATAACTAAATATTTTTCGGGCTCATACTATAAGGATTGTAATGTTTGTGGTGTTTAAGCAGGTGCCCTGGGGAAGTCTTGCCATATCAAGAGTCGGCATCCTTACGACTCAGCCCTTCGCTCGTTTTTTCCCGGCAGAGGCCCTTTTGCAGTGGAGCCGGACATCAACTCGAAGCTTTTCCTCTGGCAAGGCGACATGTGCAGCCTGGAGGTTGGAGGGATTTCGTACAAAGCTGCAGAAGGTCTAAGTTTGCGTTCATGGGTGAAGCATGGTAAACTGCATGAGACGTGATGCGTTATGAACGTCATGATGTCGTCTTTATGCCTCTCGGAGTCATGTCCTTGCCGGGTTGTTGCTACACACCACAATCTTAACGACACCTGCCCCCCCTCCCCCCTTCCTCCCCTCAGCGCCTCAGCAGTGAAAAGCGGAGCACAAGAACCTATGAGAGCACGTATACATCTTCACACATGCATATAATGTCCGTGAGCCCCTGCACGAAGGCAAGGCAGACTCCTTGCCCGCCCGTGCGTGCACGCGCGTGCGCAAACCTCCAAAGTGGCTGGCGCGCCATCAAGGTTGACAAATTCAAAATTGCGGCCGTTCCAACTCTGGCTTTCCTATGAGAGAATGCACCTCTGGGCGGTGATCCCTACAATTGCAAGTCGTAACCCTTCCGGGATGGCGCGGCAGAGAGAGAGAGAGAGAGCCCTTCCGAATCGTGTTGCTTTTTGTGATTGTTGTGTCAAAGACACCATGAAGCCTATAGATGCTCAAGGCCTCGGCCCTACATCAAAGACCTTGAGCAGACCGCAGATCCGAAGTTTTCAAAGCCTCAGCTATCCATACAAAGAACACGCCCCCTAAAATTGGATATTCCCTTGCTTTGCTCCTGAGCCGGAAGCCCAAGCTTTAAGCCCAAACCTGAACCCTTTTAAAATCCCAACGCCTATGTAGCAATGTAGCCCTCAAAGAAACCCTGAGCCCTGGAGTCCTCCGCCCCTCAAGTTGCAGGGGCCGGCCCTAGCTACTCGCCCCCCCCCGGCCCACCCCCGCCCTCACCCTCCATTGGTAAGGGGCAAACGGTCTCCCCGGAAAGAAGATGTGCGGTTTTTTGACTGCCTGGAAGGTCGATGCTTTGCTGGCACCCGTGGCGGCAGGTTACATGCCGGGTTGCAGCACTGTCTTCGGCCGTGTGCTGCATTTCGGTGGCAGGGACCTCCTGGGAAACTCCTACGTAGCACAGGGATTGCTCGCACGAATTCTGCCGTAATCCCAAGGCATTGTTTTCTTTTTTACTTGTTGCTTGCCTTGTCTTCCATTCGATAGTCACGTAGCAACGAATATGACGAGGATTATCTTTTGACATCTATACGGATGCTTTTCGATTGAAAAGCGAGAGGGGGGCCCCTTGGTCACCATTCACGACAGCCCCAGGATGGTCTTGGAAGAAATAGGTCAGGATGGTTTAGGTTGAGGTATAGAATCAGGCGGTGATCCTGTTACGCACGAGAGGACCTTCGTGAAGAGCTCCGCCACATGGAGGGGTGCCGGAGTGGGGAGGCCGGACTTGAGCAAGAGATACGGAAGTTCACGAGTGGGTTTTCTGAAAGGGGCATCAATCGGTACACTGTCGTTGCTGTAGTTGTATGGAAGTTTTCTCAATTTGCCCCTCCTGCCAGGCTCGAAGCTGCAAGGCGTACAATTTGCCATGCCAGCGCCTTCTCCTCACTGTCGGGCCGAAGTACAAGGAGCCTATGTTGGCATCGAGTCAGAAACCAATTCATGGCAAATTGGAAATTGGAAGAGTACCAAAGGGTATGCACAGCACCACCGCTACACGTGCCCGCTGCTGAGGCTGTATTTAGTGTTGAAGCCACAAGCTTAGCTCGTGCCTAGCAAACCTCAGCTACAAGTCGAGGATGTACATGCGCAAACACAAACATGCAGGGTGGCAAGCAGGCACACTGGCAGACACAAAGACACAGAGAGAGACCGCTCGGCCTAGTTCGCGGGGATGCGTGCGCCCTTCAAGCCCTACAGCAGAATAAGAAGAAGCAGAAGAAGCAGCAGAAGAAGAAGAAGCAGAAGAAGAAGAAGAACAAGAAGAAGAAGAAGAAGAAGAGGAGAGACCTGGGGGCCGTCTCGGCTGTGAAGAAGAAGAAGATAAGAAGAAGAATAAATACATCAAGGAACCAAAGCCGCGCGGTAACCCCGACATCCGAACCCTGCGAACCGCAAAGCTTGACGATTTTGCTTTGGGGCTCCTTCCGGTGATCTTCTTCATCTTTCTCCAGGCTCTCATCGTTTTAACTGAACATCTCAAGCTCGAGCCTTAAAGAGTCGAAAGCTGCCAGGACAAGTACCTTGTGGCCGCCCAGAACACGCTGAATGCCTGCTACCGTGAGTCCATGCAGCTCCTTGTGGAATCTGGTCACAGAACCGTGGCGGTTCCGTGCTATTGGTATAGCCAAGGGTACCCAATGGAGGAACAGGCTCATGTTGGCCTGAGGACTCTTCGCAGGTGCTTGGAGAAGCTGCGTGCCTCAGTGGACAGTGCCGTTTTGGTGGCTGGAACAGCTGGCGAGCTGGAGTTGTACGAAAGTCTCTTGCCGTTGTATTTTCCGCGAAATGAGTTCGAGGCGAGGCATGCAGCAGCCGTGCTTCCTGACAGCTGCTGGAATGAATGGGGCGAGGTAAGCATGGAAGAGCGACGTATTCGAGTCTCGAACCATGTCATCTCAGACCGGCAAGACGATGTGGAGGATAGTGATCTCGTCTTCGGCGACGAGGATCGGTCCTTCCTGCATGCTCGCGAAGATGCCGATTTTGCGGCGATGCAGCGTCTGGAGGGAACTATGATCAATGCGGAAACAGTCGAAGAAGCAAGGCACATTTGCTTCCGCTATCTGCGGAGAGCCAGGGAAATCCCAGCTGAAAGTGAGCCGAAGCGCTTCGTCTACAATGGCGGCCCAGACCACTTTGGCCGCCACGTCGTCGTTCTCCTGGGAGCACGCCTCCCACCTCTTGGGGTTCTCGATGAGAGAACTGTGCCGCTTTTTGTCAAAGAGCTGGAGGCTGTTCAAACTGATCGGTTCATCCTCCTTTACGTGAACAGCGAGGTGGATGGAATGGACACAACCGTGCTAGAGGTCTTGCAGGAGATGCTCGCCGTTATCAACGCTAAGTACCGAAGATCGATGGCACAGCTCTTGGTGTTGCATCCTGGGCTCTGGTTCAGGGCTGCTTTTGCCCTTGGCCGTGCAGTAAGTGACGAAGCCGCCAGCGTTTGGCACGACAGCCTTTATTTGGAGTGTGTAGCTGATCTTGCATCCGTGCTTAGCCTCGACCAGCTGTATTTGCCCGAGTTTGTTCGGTGGAGTGAGCAGCAGTAATCGCTACGCTCCTCGGCAGTCGGACGGGAGCCGGTGCGGGCCGGTGCAGAAGCCACAATAGTTGAGCGATGGCATGCGGTGTGCTGAATGTGATGCCACTTGCTGTCTGCCACACCACACATGAGTTTCATCTCCAGCTGGTTAGTCTGTTGCTTGGTGCAGCTGCACGTCTGTCTCACCGAGCCCCCGACAGAAGAACAGCAGGCACCGGCAAAGAACAATGGTGAGTACGCCCTACAGAATCCCGTGACAGTGTGTCCAGTTGTATCTAGTATTATCTAGTCAATCGCGGAGCAAGGATCATGATCGGACTGGACTTCCGAACTGCGGCTTGGCCTTGGTAGCAGCTTCTGAAAGATGCACGTTGTCCGATAGTCCGATAGTCCGATTGTCCGATTGTGATTGTCCTGCAACCCAGAAGTCTTCGAGGAAGATGGACGTCTGCTGGTAAAGGTGGAGAGCTTCTTGGAACGCTTCGAGAGCTCCCTGGAATGCATCACCTTTCGCTTGAAGAAGCCTCCAATGGCAATTAGACCACGTATGACTGCTTCTGACTGCTCACTAGACTACTTGATTCCAGGCTATGCCCTGCAGCGCTCCATGGGTCAGCAGCTCTACGAGTATGCGCGGCTTGAACTGCAGACCGGCTTCCTGGGCTCTAGGGCAGTCGAGCCTGGAGATGCGCGATGTGCCATCTGAGCCCTAAGCCGAGCCGGAAACCCCGTATTGTCGCACATTCTCACATACTCCGCAATTCCCTGACGAAAAGAATGGTCTGAGTTGGTGGACCACGAGCGAAGCGTCAGTGGTCCGGGCTTCTTTATCTCTGCAAGTTTGTCTGCAAACGTTTTGAGGTTCCCGTGTACTTTTCTGGTTCCTTTCCTCGCCGAGCCACTGGCCGTGATCTTCTCATTCTCACGGCTCTTCATGTGCCTCGCCCGAAGAGAGAGATCACAGCGCCTCTTCTAGCAGCAGAGTCTTAGAAAGCCAGAGATGGCCTATCTCTGATTTAGATGTGCTCCAACGAGGCTGCTGGTGAGGAGTCACCCAGAGCTCAAGTCCTGGGAGAGCAGGGGCTGGCTGGCGGCCCTGGACTTGGAACTCGGTCGCTATGCGGACGCTTGGGCTCAGAAACTCCTTTTGGATTTCCGAACTGGGGTCAGCGCTGGGGAGACTGGTTTCTAAACTGTTTAAAGCAGTTTAAAGCTGAGTGATCGACGAGAAGCTATTTCAGGATGACCAAACTGGTCCACGAAGGAGGTGGAAAGCCAACAAGGCAGTCACCCTGCTTTGCAGGGCCTGCATCCCCCAAAGAACCCAATCGACCCAGCATTGTAGGCAGTCCCAGCACCTTAACAATCGCCAAGCACATCAAGAAAGTCAGAAGACTTGCACTTTGGGCAGTTTTTCTTGAGGACTGCTTGGTGAACGTATTCCTGGCTGTCCTGGTGCACATGCCCCAGTTGATGCGCGCGTTTCTGATTACAAACATGGCTGAAGTATGTCGAGTTTGAGTTGCGACCAGGAGTTGTGCTCCAAGGTTTTTCTTTCCTGGTGGCTATACGCACTGGGTGTTTGCACTTCTGGCCGGAAGCCATGCTTACATATATGCCGGCAGCTTATGGTCAGATGGTTTGAGGCATCGAAATCGGTGCACATGTAGACAACCGCAGCCCGGAGTTGGCAGCTTGCCCCAGGCTTACGACCATTACAGGGTCCTGCGTGTGGTGCCACGCATTGTTTTCCAATCCATGAATGTGGACTTCTGCGCGCAGGCCTAGCAGCCTATCAGTACCTACAAGTACCGGCAGCAAGAGTTGCATTGTCTGCTTTGGGATCATGGAGCCAGGTTCTTCTGGCACCAGCTTGTGGCATTCTGCACCCCGGCAGGAGCATAATACATCGCCTGTCCTAGGTCTTCATCAAAAACACCCTGTGTAGGAACTAAGAAGAAGCTCGAGCATGGCTTGGGAGTCGATCAAGTTTGCGAATGCCAATCTGCGTTAAGTGAGTATGTAACACCCATGCCAAGGCTTGTCTGCTTGATCTTCAAAGGCAACTGCACCAAGGATGCTTTTCACTGCCACTTGACCTGGCATTTCGATGGAACATGTATGATATAGTAGATACAGTACTGTTCTGACTTGCGTGCCGAAGTTAAGTTGGAGAACATGGCATGTTGAGCGTCTATCATCTTTCAACTGTTGATGTTGGCCATCCGTTTGGGGCGGCCTGCGTCGAAATGATTTCCAAGCATCTGCAATCCCTTCCCACACACAGGCCTGGAGCCATATCCTCTGTTCGGTGTGTGCATCGCATCGTTCCTCTTGCATTGTGCGCCTTGCCTACTTAGCAACGCAACGCACCTGGGCGAATGCAGTGCTTGCCAGCATGATGCTCTCGGACTGCCACGCGCAACCCGAGGCTGTCCATACAATGGTCCTTTGGTTTTTAGTGCCGTGTATCGTTTTGCGAAGTGACAACGAGAAGATCTACCGGACAGATGCTAAGCTTCCTGGCTGTCACGGAGTCACGGAGTCACGGAGTCACTGTAGTTGGCAGAAGGTCTTTTATTGGGGGCTCGGAAGACTCGGCCGGCTTGGGGTGAGCGCCAAGGACCTTCAAGGAGGTGGCGGCAGAAGAGCCATGCAGCTGGCCTCTCAACTGAAGAGTTATTAAAGGGACTTTACAGGCCCATTCGGTAACGCTGGGTTGCATTATTGAATATTATTGATGTTATTGATGGCTTGTGATTTGCAGTCTGCGCTTAGTTACGAGCCTGAAGTCTCAGGGTGATGGGATTTACCAAGCTAAGAAGCTGACTTGGCACTTCTTGAAGTACGAATTTCATGCTCCGTTTGGACTCCAGGTTCACGGCAAACCCTATACACTGCTTGCGGTCTTGGCTGGTGCCAACCTCGGCGTTTGCATGGGATGTTGGGGTCATTTGTCCAGACTGACCTTCTGACCTGCCTGCTGAGATATACAAACACGACCCTCCTTGCAGCTTCTACGTTCCTGGGATGGAGCACACCATGCAGGCTCATTGGGAAACTGGCCTCATGCTTCTTTGACGTGGTTGTTGCTTGTGTCGTGGCCTTGACGGCCTGCAGGTGAATGAGAACATCGGCTGCTACTTTACTGAGACGGACGAGACCGTGGAAGACGAAACTGGGCTCATTGTCGTCCTTTCGCCTTATAGCAGTATAACATGCTGCCGTAGTGGCAGCGTGTGCTCCACCTCGTGATTGCCTGCCCGGCTTTCGCAGTCGTTCTTGTGTTTATGGCATGTAAGGTACAGAGCTACTTGCGCTTGCCGTCACTGCATGACTTGAAGCACCTTGGACATCTTTGGTGCAGTGCAGGTATGCAAGATCTTTTCCAGCAGGTTCAGCTTCTTCAATGCAAGTGCATGAGGGACCCAAGATTGCGCTCTGGCTGTCTCAATGATGCTCACGAGGTTGTGCAGGTAGAGCCTTTGCTTGCAGGCATGCCCTGGCAGATGCTGATGATGATGACACCAAAGGTGACACAGGACTTTGGGGTGCAGTGGCAGGGTTTCTGGGAATTCCACAGCACCTGCTGCAACAGAGCCAAAGGCTTATTCTCAGGGCATATCTGTTGGTTGTGTCGTCCAGTACGAGCTTTGTGAAGGAGCTACAGGGTGAGCATTCGGAGAGTCAAGCTTGCGACCGCATCGCAAATGGCAGAAAGCACCAACATGTGCTCCTGTTTGACATGCATGCCTGCTTCAAGTAATCAGCTGCCTGTCATTGCTAACAGCCAGTATATCGCAAAAGGGTTGACAACTCGTCAAAGTCCATCATGAGCATCGTCATCATGATGGTGCTGGTGATCACACCCCGTGGGTTTAGGGTTTAAGGTTGAAGGTTTAGGGCCACGACGACCATGTCAAGGATTCGAATCTGAAAAGGTAAGGCAACAATGCTTTCGACTAGTTCAGTGCATTGACGCGGTCCACCCAAGTGCATCAGAGCCATTAGAGTCATTAGAGGCGGTCTTGAGCCATGTTAAGGGTGCAACATGACGTACTGATGCCCGACGTCATTCTCAAACACTGTCACGGTTCACGCGCATGTCGTACAGCGCAGTTGATCATGAAATGGTTGTAAGAGGCTTTAACTCGATCAAAAAACTTGCGCGGCGAGCCACTTGAATGGCAGCCATTAGGCTCAAGGGAGGCGGAAGATAGCAGGGTAAAAAGAGGTGCAGCGGCTATCATGTGGCAGCCGAAACAGGCGCAGAGAATGGCAGAGACCTTGAGCTGCAAGAAGGATGTCAATGTGCGAGCAAAAGCCGCAACACCTGGAGTTTTTGTTGCAGCGCCCTTCGCTTTTGCAAGGTTTGATTTGCCATGCACCCGGCCTATGAACCAGATTCGTGGCTTCGAGAGTGAGACGAAGGCTTGTTCCAGCCGGTGATTTGCGTTTTGTGCGCTGCGATTTTCTGCGGCCTTCGATAGCCTGCGATAGGAAACACAGCGGGCTGCGCGCACACGTGACGCACTTCGTCAGCTGGGTGCTAAGAAGGAGCCTCGGCTTGCGACTTCAGAGGGTGTTTAGAGCCAAAGCGGAGGACATCAAAAGGCTTTTGCATGAAATCTGAAAAGTCCCGGAAGGACCTGCTGAACTTGGATTCCTACCTGCTCGACAGGTGCCATGTGTTGTTCGCTGTCCTGGCACGGGGGCTCGCAAGAGTTAAGTAGCAAAACAAAGTAGCAACTGGAAGTAATTGGGCAACAGTTCCTTTTGCTCTCGCTCAAGTTGTGCCCGCCATCCTCTGCGATGCCAGGCCTGAAGCTGTCAACATGCCAGTCCTCTTCGACCAGGCGCCTTGCGGACACTTCACGGGCCTTGGCGCGTGAAGTGTCCGAGTTGGGCTCAGAGTCGTGCTGAGATCGATGTCCTCCCCCGGCATCTGCTTGGAAGCAAGACATGCTGGGACCATTGCCGTTCTCGAAATGCAGTGGCTGCACGCTGTGCCTGATGTGTTTCGCGAGGGGTCGCGAGCCTGATGACTTCATGAGGAAAGTAGTGGCAGATAACAAGAAAAACTTGCGCCGCTTGCTTAAAGTGGAGGCGTTAAGGCTGCTCTCCAAACAATGTCCGAAACAATGCTGAGGCATTGCATAGGGATGCAGAGAGAATTGACGTTTCCTGGCAATGCCGCGCTTCGGCACTGGCAGTGGGCATGAGAATGAAGAGCGGGAGTCTGCGCGATCATATCAGTTGAGTCCATGAGTCATTGTGCATATGCCGTGGGGGGAGGGGGGGGGATACTGAAGTATTGAAGACAGACACAGACGTCCCTTGCCAATGTCAGGGCTCCCTGCTGCACGTTGCGGCCATGCGTGGCCACCAGGCCAGTACTCGTAGCACGAAAAGAAGTGCCGTGCATTGCTGCAGCGTCTGTTACTATTGCTACCATTGCTGTGCTTGCACAAGGTTTTAGTTGGTTACGTTGCCCGTCACTTTGCCAGTACTTCAGAAATAACGGGTCAAACGTGGTCGTGGGCAGGGTCTGGGCCATGTTTTGCTTCGCGCTGCACTGAATGAGGGGTGATGGAACATCCTCACTTTTGAGTTCTGTTGCAGGACATGGTTCAGATGCTGGTCCATCAGCGGGGCGCAGATATAGTCACTGGGTTGCAGCTGAAGCTGTCATGAGTGGACTAGCTGAACAGGCAATGTACCTCTGTCACTTTAGGACGCTGTCTCCGAGGAAAGAACAAACTCCGCGCAGCAGACCTCGCTTCACGCAGCGTGTGATGGCAACTATGCAAACATTGTGGTGGATCTTCTGGCAGCTGGACCACCTGCGTCATATTGTGTCACGTCACGTGTGGGCTGCCATCAGGGAACAGAGCATGGGTTTGGATGAGTTTCAGCTCCTTGTCAGTACTCCTCCCAGCCTGTTAGCCTGACCATTTTTGAGAGCATCTCTCAGCGCCATTCGGCTCCTCATTTCTTCACTTTCTCCGCGACATCTTGGCCAGGAGCTGACGCAGACAAGCGCGATGCACTGCGCCAGACGCCGCTGCACCGTGCAGCACACGTCGGTGCTGTGGACTGCCTCCTTGCGCTGCTGGAGCGGGGGTTGATTCCTGCTGTGGCAGAGTTCATTTGTCAGGTGATACTCTTGTTGCACTCGCGCGCATCGCCTCGGCCTCACCCCGTGCAGATGGTCATGCAGAGCCTTATGGCATTCCGGCGGGCCACAAGGGCCCTTATAGGAGGTTCCAAATACGTCCGTCCATAGATGTCATGCAAAACAGCCATGCGCTCACTCATTTCTGTCAGGATGTCATGCGATTCAGAGGGTTAGAGGAAGTGGAAGTTGCACTCACATCGGACCGAGCATGATGCACAAACAAATCAAGAGAAAGAATAACGAGATGATGATAGAAGACAGAGGCCAGAAAGCGGGCTTCGGGAGGTGACTTTGATGTCCATCGGCTTTCATAGCAGGGGTCCATGCAGCGCCCGGTCATGGAAATGAGTTTTGTCGTGTGAGTTTGCACAGAGCCATGACGGGATGGGGGTTGCAAGACTGAGGGTTGTGAAGGGGTCTTGCAGGAAGCCATTCAATCATCAGGAGGGTCTAGCAGGGGTATAAGGGGTACAGGGGGTTCTAAAGACCGTAGGCGCACTGGTACAGTGCGCAGTGTACATACGAGGTAGGGGTCCATTGCGGGCCACAGGAGGTTTGGAGGTGGCGCGCCCCCCAAGCACCTCAGGCCTGGGGCGGATGAACCGTAATTATGCTTGTGGCGCCGGGATGGGAGATTTGCCAGCCTGTGGATGTTCCATCCGCATTAGCATCCGCCCACCTGGCCCTGGCATACCTCCCGCATCGAGAAGAGGCTGTTTCTGAAAAAGTGATATCATCCGAAGGTGGCGTGCGAATTGGCAGCGGCTTCTGAAGACCAGTGATGAATGGAAATGCTGTGACTCGCCAGGAGTATGGGGCAAATGCCAAGCTCAGAGATGATGGCGGGTTGCTTCCGGTTCACACCGCCACTTGGCCATAAGAGTAGAAATATGGACTGAACATACCAGAACACTCAGCTCAGAGCTATTTGTGGGCAAACGCGGCAAAAGTAATTAGTGAGTAGGTTGGATTGTTTTTGAGGCAGCCTTGCGTGGCCGGGACGAAGCTTTGCGTCTGCTCATCTCCCAGGACGGCTAGCTGCTCATGAGTTGAAGGCTTGCCCGGAGTTTGCGGCAAGTTATAATCTGGCTTGAACGTTACGTCTTGTGACATGTCGGTCTTCGAGCCGTCAACCAGGTACCTTGCACGAGATAGGGCGCGTGGCTGCTACCGTTGCGTCGCTGTTACAGAGTCAGCCAGGATCCAACTTTTGCCAATGTCGAAGCTTCAGATGGATGGACGCCGCTGTCACCCACCCAGGTTGGCATTGGCTTAGACTTAGATTTTTTTGTTTGACTCAGTTTGGTGTTGACATGTGTTGAACACAGTGATCCTCTCTGGATTGCAAGCCGCACAGAGGAGAAAGCATCTAAAGAGTTGCATAGAACGTCATAGAACGAACCACTCACTGTCGCATGTGTTCTTGGCTTGGCCCAGAATCGGCCAGAAAAAGCGCCTGAGGCATTTTGCGAGTCATGGTGGCCATGTCTCCGCCACAGAGGCGCTGTGAATATCGTCGATCGAGGGCTTTTTCGAGAGCTTGGGCGGTTATCATACTAAGGGAAACGAGAGACAGGGCATGCCCGCACTTAGATCATTAGCGAGGACAGGCGACACCAGCATCGAAACACATCGAACCCTGTATGCCGATTGCCGAGGCTTACACCATTTATATTTGACCCGGGTGCTTCATTGAGATGTTGTGCTTCTGCCAACCTTTGAAGCCTTGGGGGCAGGCACTTCTGGAATGTGGCGCTTATGCCCATTCAGTCGACAAGGCGTCAACTGCGTGAGCTGGTTTTAGAGTCCTCATTCTTCATGGAATTCTCAGCACCCATCCCTATGATAATTCAGTATTGCGTGTTCATTCTTTTTCTTCCACTTGTTCATTTCATGCGTGCTTTTGTTGTGCGCCTTCCATCTCAGATAGGAGAAGCGCACGGCACTGCACTGCGCTGCCGCCTCGGGCTCGGAGGCCACCTGCCAGGCTCTGATCCGGGCAGGCCGGGACTGCGCCGTTTCCCTGTCAGCGCACGGAGTTCATGTGTCGTAAACTACGACGCATGGCTTACTCCTTTTTGAGTGGTTTTGTTGTTCTGATTGTTGTTACCGTTTACATACACTCGTGTGGAGACTTCTAGCGATTTCTAGCAGCAGTCACCCCCGAAAGAAGGCGCGGAATTGGAGGGCATGGACCAGCTGAAGAAGTTGCCCATCCACGTGGCTTGTGAGGCCGGGGCAATGCGGGGGATGATTCGTTTTTTTTTTTTGTTTTTTTTTCGGTTTTTGTTCTGCGATGTCACGAAGCAACTATTTGTTGAACGATGTTGACGTTTCTCTTGCGTGGCTGGCTGCGTATGACCGCTTGCAGTGTGCATTGTGCGCGAGCGTTCTTATGATACCTGGAGCAAGGAAGGTTGTATCCAAGTTGTCCGCTTCCTCCTTGACGCCGGCAGCCCGTTCGACACGTTGGATGGGCAACGCAGGACGCCTTTGTGGGCTCTGAAGCCATAAGAAGCCATAGGTGGCGCATGACTAGGATTTCCCCTAAATCTGACAGGACGCCACTGTTGATCGCCACACGTGCTGGTAACCTGGAGCTTTGCGAGGCCACGCTTTGAGCCCATCAGAGATCATCAGAGTGTCCGAGTTCTTTACAGAAGGTCCTCCTCAGCATGGGTGCCGACCCTAATGCTGGTGACATGGCCCGGGGAATTCCTACGGCTCTGGCGCTTGCACGCAGAGGCAAGCTCCCATGCGTTGAGTTTTCGGCACATGTTCGCTCCAAGCAGAACTTCATTTCTGACTGCAGGTGCAAATCCTGCCCTCCGCAGTCTCATGGAGGAGCTCATGCAGCAATTTACAGAAGTTTCCTAAAAAGTTGTTGCGACGCTGTGGTGGACAGCGCGTGGCGCGCCAACACAGCGAACATTTGTCAGGACTACGCCCGTGCTGCAGCTGCAACAGCCGCCATGCCGCTGACGGACGCTGACAAGGCCAGAGCAAGCAGACGGCAATGAGTCCGATAGTTTGGGTAGCTTGTGGAGGTGTTGTTGGAAGGAAAGCAGCAGAGATGGCCTTAAGGAGGGTTATGCCTCATTGGTGTTCCTGAGCCCTTGCAGTCACCGCCGGCGGGCAACGAGTCCAAGTTATCTCTGCCCGAAGCATGAGGCAGGGGTGTGTGTGTGTGTGTGTGTGTGTGTGTGTGTGTGTGTGTGTGTGTGTGTGTGTGTGTGTGTTTTGCTTGTGCTTGGAAGATCTTGGAAGAACGGGCGCTTCCAAACAGTGTGGGGCATGTGATGGGAAGGAGCTTCTCGATGCTCCTCACATGGAGTGGCTGCATGGGTTAAAGCTTGCCTGTTGCAGCGCAGGCTGCCCGTGCCAGCTTCGACTCGCCTGACATGAGCTTCAGTCCTCCGTGAAAGGCGATCTGGGAGACCTGGATGTGCTTCAGCTCTGCCCCACTTCGAGCAGACTAGCAGACCTCGTGTGCAATTCCATACGCTTTAGGTACTTTAGGTGATCCTCTAGACGGCCAGCTTCAGGAGGGCTTCTTTCCTGTAGATGTCATCCCCGAATACCGGGGATGCGTTCAAGGGTTCAGACCTTGCCGCGCAGTTCAACGCAAGGGAATGGCGACTGGTCTGACCCCATCAGAACCGATGACTGTAGTCTCCAACCCATGAAATCAGACAAGCTGCCAGAACTGAAAATGGCTGCCAAACACCTGCCGCAAAGCGAATGCGAGTCTGCTTGCTTCCTGTTGTGCTACATTGCTACATTATATAGAACTATGACACTATCATGAACCACACACGAGTACACCATCGGCGCACACCAGGCAATCAAGGGGGCCTTTGCCACAGGCTGCATCCAGATGACACAGGTACCGAATGGAAATCCGTAGCCGGCACAGGCTTCTGCGTGCGAGTTGCAGGTTAGAAATGTGTAAGGTCTGATGTTTCCTTGGCCATGAATGCAGAAGGTTTGTGAGCTAATCACTGTCTGTGGCTGGAGCATACGAAGGGGTAGCTATGCCGACGGACAGGCTTCCCCCAGCCCCCATGAGCAAAATGCTATCTGCTTGAATTTCCAAACAACGAACGCTGTTTTGGTGACCTACAGTCCTATAGTTAGCATCCGAGCTCATGATGACCTGCCTTTTTTCTTGCGGATTTTGGCTCCTAGCTCCATCCTTCTGACGCTCTCCGCCCTGGAGGTCCATGGGGTCCACACGTTTTTGAGTTTGTTGGGGAGTTTATGGTTGCTGAATTGCGGTCGCTACGCTCGCTCTTGTTTAGGAAAAGGAGGGGTTGAGGCATGTTGGTGTGACTGGCGTCGGCGGGCCATTTCCTAAAGTCCGTAATTGCAGCTTGTGTTGTGCTGTGGAACTGCCTGGAACAAACCAAGTCCTGTAGCTGAAGAGAGCTGCTCACAGGAACATTCGAAGCTTGGCCTTTGTACACCTTTGTGGTGCGAGGTTGCACTAGGTCCCTCATACCCAAGCCAGCCATCATGGATGAGCCATGACCTCAGAGGACTGGGCTAAGATGCAGGGACAGTTCTCATGTAAGAAGCAGTTGCATCTGTGGCACGCTCCCAGTGGAGCCTTTGATGCTCAAAGCCGCCTGGGCAATGCTTGTAACGTGGGTGTGAGTGCAGTTCGAAGCATTACAAGAACCTGTTGTGGCGGTGCTTCCAGTGCAAGCCCGCGTGTTTATCATTGGCGAAGCTATATGCCCCCCGTCGTATCACGGACGCCTGATCCTTTACTTTCAACTGTCACAGACTGCCCAAATATTGGCGTTGCGCGTGAGGTATCCTGTGTAAGGGGTGCTTCTCAGCAGTCACCGTGCCGCTAGGGCAAGTAGGCAGACTGGTGGATGTGGGAAACGACGACAACATCAGCAGTCAGGTGGAAACTCGACAGGAAGAACATCTGCGCGGGCAGCTTCAAGTGGCATGCGGATGAGCCAGCAGCTTACGCTGACGGTTGCACACAGCACTTTTGACGGGATCTGGCTGTCACACAGAAATGTTCTGTATTTCTGTATGCTTTATCAGTGTTGATTCACAAGGTACTACTCACGAGGCATCAACAAGTCGCGCACCCAGAAAGCTTGACGTCTTGATTAGCTGCTGGCAAGGAGGTAACCTGAACATCTGAGGCCGAAGCACATGTACTCCCCAGACTGGCTCGACGTTGAAATGAAAACCCATCACGAGAAAGCCCGCCCTGTGCTTACCACGAGGGTAAGCAGAACCTCTAGTTTCATGTGCTTTTGCAATGTTCGTGCAAACTAACTTGGGCTCAAGGCGGCGGGACGGCGACGATCAAGGTTAATCCTCTGGAAGGCCGGCCAAGTTTATTTCCTGCAAGATCATATATCCTAGACTCTGAGGCCACGAGACAACGAGGGAGTCAAGACAGACCCTTCGGAAGAGAGCTGCATCAGAAATAGGATCAACCGAAGGAGGATCACTACTGAAGTCATTGAAAATTCGCGCCATTCTCCTGCCATGGGTCGGGAGGGGAGACATGCTAAGCGACAGGCCCGCCTTCACCAAAGCCCAGCTATGGCTTCTTTGAGCCTGATTCGTCCCTGCGGCCCAAGCCCGGCGCGTAGCCACAAGAAAGCTTGATCTTCCGCTCAGCTCTGTTACAAGTCTATTCAATTCGCTCACCCCACACTCATCACTGAGGTCACCAGTCGCCATGGATTTGGGATGGCAAACACTGTGGCGAGCATAAAGAAATCTGTTGGGGACAAGCAGCCTGCGCTTCCGACTAGCGTGTCCCGAATGCGAGGTCGGGCACGCAGCCCTTGGCCAACACACTGAACAAGAGGAGGCGCGTAGATGTGGAGAGTCCTCACAGAGCTCAGTTTGACCATCCAGTGCTTTGGACTTTGGAGATAGGGCGAAACTGGCCCAGGCCCCAATCCGCGTTGACACTGACCACGCCGGGAAAGGCGGAGACCTGTTGGGGGAGATGAAATGAAGAGCAATTCCCAGCCAGTGGATGAAAAACATATCTCAGTGTTGCCGCCTCTTTTTGCCCTCCCCGTCATCTTTAGTCAAACTTGAGTCAATGACGCGCTTGGCAGGATTCGGGAGCGGTTTCCCCAGGCTCAAGCCCGAAGGCTGGCAGCCAGTGTTTATCAGAGGTGCAGTTTTGACTTTGCATCTCTTCTCCCTCTATGCGTCGGCATGTAAATTCGTGTCAGGGGGCGCTGGTGAGCGCCCTGCTCTCTCCATCTCGGGCGGGGGGCCACTGCTTGTGAATTGCAATTGCCTGAGATCTGTTGCCTGCTCAGGCTTTGCCTAGGCTGAGGGTCAGAGACATCACAGACGAGACGCACAAAGCAGGTTTCAGCCTGTGTGTTGTCCTTGACTATGCGCACAAGTGTGTGCCAACACTTACATGCAAGCACGGCACAGGGATCAGCGACATATGAAGCAATCAAGCAGGTGGAGGATCCTACGCGTAAGCAAAGCTGGCAGCAAGCAGTACAGCGAATGCAAAGACCGCAGACCGGCGATACAGAAAAACACAGTAAAGAAAGAATGTCAGTATCTAATTTACGGAATAGAACGAATATCCTTATGACAGTTCGTACGGTTGATATAAGAAGATGTGATTGCAAAAATGAAGAATTCCAATAGAGTTAGTAGAGATAGATACGATCTACTAGATATTTTTGAGATACTGAGTATACACAGCACATTTATTTTTCTATTACATCTCAAGTCGCGAGTATAAATATCCGAGTTAAGCAAGAGTACAACGAACAGAACTAACACAACTACTATATGCTTTTTGATATAGTTAAATTTAGCTAGTATAAGTAATAGAATCATACAGTCAATAGAGCTGTTATAGTTAGGATAGTTCACAAGTAGCAAAACGGAACGAGCATCGAAAGTAATTCAGAGACGTAATAGAATGAATATTCTTGAAGAATCAACATCGTACATCGAATATAGCCAATCTCACGCATGAAGAACTGATATCGCGGCGCAGCAAGGGCCCCACCCCCCTCCCCGCGCCCCCGGCGCCCCCGACCCCCTCCCCCTCGCAAACAAATCTGCAGCCGGGAGGGGGTGGAGGGGGGCGGGGCGGGGTAGGCGGGGTTGGGGAACCATCCTCGCACAGATGTGAAGCGAAGACCCTTAAGTCCTTAAGTCCTTAAGTCCTCAAGGCGTGCCTTGCTGAGGCACTGTTTGGCTTTTTCAGTGAATTTAACGTCGACCAGGATCCAAGATGCCGCCAAAACTTTCTAAGGCATCTTGGATCCGCGACAAAAGGGGGGGGGTCTTTAAAGCCACTTTAAACACTGGACTGCGTTGCTACCGGTTCTTTGTCGGTGAACAATGCGGATCGTCCACCAAAACCCGCCGATTAGTTCCAGCAATGAAGTAAACGTCTGGTGGTCTCGTTCTTTGCATGCATGCCATCTGAAAACTCATCATCCGTTGTGGCAGGTAGGTGAGCGCGCCACCACTGCACTTCCAGGCCACAGAAGCATGATGGCTTAGCGGCTTAGCTGAGCCTTGAAAACCCAAATGTCAGACTTGATCTTGAGAGTCTGCCAGGGCCTCGAGGCATGTTCCGCAATGCCAGCAGTCCAGCGGAGACTTTTGGTCTGACCTGTTCGCCGAAGGTGCTCTGCCTGAAAAGCCCGTGTCACTTCTCGTAAACGTATATTCCGAGTGGACGAAAAATACAGTATTGTGATGCTTCACGTCCTTGCTGTGAACCCTCTGTCTTGCCTCGCACATGGCTTTCAAACGAAGTCGTGCAGTTTTCCCGGTCACTGCCATCCGGCTGACTCAGACCAGATGCAAACGACACGCAAGGCAGTGTCTTGCTCCAGGCCAACCGCCTCACCCTGCCCTCTTCACCTATGGGCCAGGGCCTTGGCCGGCTGCATGCTATAAGCAACATTGCTTTCAATGGTAATACAATAGCTTGGACGATGCACGCAGTAGTAACAGTAGCAGGCAGTCGAAAGTGAGCATTTGTATCCAGAAAACAAGTACGACCCGACTAATCATAGCAATACTCGAAATACTCGCAATAGAAACAGAAGTAAGGACAGCCAATGGCCTCGAATGTCCGTTGGTTGTGTCGCGCTGCCTGGAACTTCTGCAGGACGTTCAGAGCAGG